TTATTTTAACTATATACAGGATAAAATAAGATGCCTAGAGGCAATGATTATAATCAAAACGCAATTCTAGCTTAGTTCCACAAAGACTTAACGTTTTTGGCCAGTTCCTTAGGCCTTCCAGGACTGTCTTATTTGTACTCTTTTCACAAAATGAAAGAGATCTTGTGATTAGGGAAGAGAACAACCACTAATGAAGGTCTAGCTAAATCAAAAAAACACATCAGAACCACTTGAAAGCAGGAGCGCGTTACTGCTACCATTGGGTTTCTTGCTTCATTATCACCATACCCATTCCCAAATTCCAGGCACGTGTGTGGCACGGGCTATGTCCCACTTCGCAACACTGTTATCAGCAGTGTTCCTGCCCCAGCAAGGCACCTGAGAAAGGCAAATGTATGCAGAAGGAGTAATCTAATTGAAAAGAATAATCTCCTGAGACTGAACTATTCTCTTATTTCAGTATGTCTGGAGAAAAGGGTGCAAACTAGCTTTATTTCTTTCAATGGGGTAGTAATACCAAATACTATCTTTTAAATAGCAGCCTCCGTTGACTATCTCACTGGGGCTGAAGGTGGGAACTTGAGTGAAATTTCACCACTGTTCATCTGATTCTTGTTCAGATCCTCTTCCTGTCATCATTTTAACAGCCACAGAGGCTTAGCTGCTCTTTTTTCAGCTGGGCTTCAGCTACTCCTCTGCAAGGAGGAACCAAAATTCATTTGCTCCTTATGAATAGTAAGACATTTCCTCAAACTTCTATCTAATTTAGTGCAAATCCACAGGCTAGTAGAAGCAGCAATTCCACATCAAAAAAGCATACAGAGTTTCCAACACTAAAACTTACACCCAAGTCCACTAGCCGTCATATGCCTGCGGTCTGACATTTGTTATAAAACCTTACACACTAACTGCAGTCTCCTCAAAAATCTTTGTACAGCATGGTGAGCTAATACAGAGTAAGACTGCACTTGAAAAAAAAATTGTTTTAACTGTGTAATCAGCATCAGCTGAGTAATTTCACCTTCTGAGTTTTTGCGCATTTTTTTAAAATGAAAAGAAAATATCAAGCCTCATTTAGTAAGTCCAAAAATTGTCAATTGCTTTATTTACCTACTGGAGTGATTTCTGGTGGAGTAACAAATTTCTTCTGGAAAGCATACATTCATGATTAGCAGTATTTTTGGGTAACTGTCCAAGGATTTAAAATTCATTATAAAGTTTGTTTGTTTTTTGATTCAAAATCATCCTTAATTTTTTTAGTTAGATCACTTCATGGCATTATGAATGTAAAAAAAAAAAAAAAGAACAAAGAAAACTTTTAGTAATCACAAAAAGCTCAAAGAAATCCTAATTCTGAGAGAGTGTTTAGTTGTAGGGTAAGAACTGCATCTCACAGCAGCCTCTTGTCAAAAAAGAGAGCCTGCAAAGGGCTGTCAGTATATTTCTTTCTCAGAAGCACCATTCCTTATATCTGAAACCTTAAGAATGGGTTGTGATACAATGTTCACCAAATCAATTCATATTCCCTATGATAGAAATAGCAAACAAGCAGTGATGCTGAACTGATGCCTGCCTGCCATCTCTGTCAGTGAACACTATATATTTGCACAGGTTTATTTGTTTTCCAAGGGCTCGTGTTGAGGAGGAGGATCAGGATCAGTCTGATAATAAAATGCCCTTATGGATTTCTCGAAGTAAAAATCCTTCAGTTAGAGCCACCCTCAAGGTAGATCAGTTTTTAGACGCATAACCTTGACAACATCCTTTTGGAGATTGATATTCCATTCTTTATTTGTCTTCTTGTACACAGCTACTGCAGCAAAAATGTATCTAGTACTGCAGGCTGATGCATAGGCACACACGCTTAGGTAAGGCACACATCACTGTAGTACCAGAACCCCAAAAGAACTGAAAACGCAAAAGCAGAATTCCTGTTTCTTTTTAGAAGACAGGATAAATGGCATACAAGCATGCACACACACATGAACAACACAGGCCAACTCGCAATCCTACCAGGAGAAAAAGTGAGCTTTGCATTCTCTTTTAAACACTCTGAGTTCTTATCTCTTTTAGTGCTTACTCTTTCAGTTCAAACTGATGAGCCTGTAACTATCAGCCAAGGTGACAAGGGAACAGCAGCATCTCCAATCCAGGCCTCTGAAGAGAAAGAAGGATGGACTTGCCGATCGCTCACTTGACACTGAAAAGCGTTAATCTAAAATTGCAGACTGCAACCTTGGTGCCTGCAGGTTCAGCCGGGCCTCACAGTCTGGTTCCAAATGCCTTAACTGGGCCCTTGTTTTTCTTGCTACTGACCTGGAATTTCTCATCTGTGACACATCCCTGAAATACGTGCAACAGACCTAGAGATGGTCTTGTCAGAATCACATGTTTATATCACTGCTGAAGTCTGTCTGAAGAGCAGCATGCTCATTAAACAATTTTTCACACATTAATGGTCTTTCCTTCTTTTTTTTCTTTTTTTTACTTTTACAATAGCCTTCAGAAAAAAGGCAAGGGTTTAAGAATTGGTGCAACTGAAGCATAATATGACTAAGTCAATAAGAAAGTAAAGATTTTTTTAAATGCAGATTATTGATCTATGAAATTGTAGGGTCTCCTTCAAAGTCATTAGAATTTGTCATGTCGATATGTTAGTAGGGACCTCTGTAAATGAAGATTAATGATGCAAGTGATAATTATCACTGAAGAACTCTCACTTTTCTCCGTATTTGGAAATTCTATTCAAAGGTGAAGGATGTCAAGTTCTTGACTGCACCTTAACTCCTTTTCTGTTAGTAGAGTAGGGGGAAGATTTTCTTTGGCACAATGGGAAGTCAAATTCCCAGTTTCTTTTGAAATGAATGGTAGCTGAGCTGCCTAACTATGATTTGTGCCTTAAAAAAATCCCCTCATATATGATGAGTGCAGCTGCTCTGCAGATCTACTAAATCCACAAGCCAAAATCCTTCTGCATATTTTTTCTTTCTGAAAGAACCTGAACATGTACAATAGTTGCTTTTCTAAATTAAACACTCAAGACATGTTTCTTCTTTTTATTGTTCCATGCAAGACTTCTTCATATATTTTCGCTAAAGGCCTGAAAAGTTATAACTTAAAGGAAAAGAAGAACCAAAGCTTTTGTTAACTTGTAGGAACATAAAGAAGTCCCTAGAGCTAGTAAGCTGGTTCTACAGGGGGGCTTGTGTGCATATTTTTAATCTAAAAACATCAAATTTAATATTTTTCAAGATACTTCTGCTCTAAGGCTGGGGCTCAAAATGCCAAGTAATGTCCAGATAATAAACAGTATAGCTCTGCTGGGGTTTCCTCTGCACGAGTACATCTGGAAAGCTAAAATTGGTGGGGGATCATTTGATTCTCAATTATGAAGCACTAATTCCCTCAAAAGTCCTTGGGATTATCATTTTTCCATGAATCATCACTAGGTGATAGGTTTTATTCATCAGTTTTTCAAAAAGAGTGGCAAATAGTTTGGCACAGTTTAAATTGGGTTAAGGCAAACAGAGCTTGGGCAGCCTTTGTGTATGGAATCAAAATGATCCAGATATGGGCTTTTAGATTTTTAAGGAAAGATAATCAAAGACAAAAGAATCGCGATTCCAGGCTGAAATACCCTAGCTCTTTTCCAACAGACAACCAAACTAGCAAGCCATAGGGCAAAACCATATTCTCGTTCTGAGGAGTAACAGGCTGAGTAAAGGGCGTCAGCGTGGTTCCTATCTGGCATGATGCCTACCTTCGGTGGCCTGCAGCATCACATCAGAACCTGTTTTGTCAGCAGCCAAATCACAACTCACAAGAGATTTTGTGGAAAGAGCCTCTGCATCCCGAAATGCTTAATCAGTGAGGTATTTTGAAGAAAAATACCTGCACACAGCAGACAAACATCTAGCAGACAGATATATAAAATACCTGCTCACAAAATTCTATCATCAGAGGGAACATTATAAAATGTAAATTAACATAGAGAGATGGACTGACTTGTTTTATTAGCATCATTCCCTAATATTTAACTCCTTAAACTCTCAGTAACGTTCGTGTTCCACACCTAATTTACTCAGGCTGATAGAGGAATAGGAGAACAAACAGTCAACAGACACCACATGAAGATGAGGAGTGAATTTCACAATCAAATTATACTGAACATCACATTTTAAGTTATATTTGCCTATGAGAAGACACTAATTCAAGAATCTTGGGAGCTTGTTCCTTGCATTAGGGGCCCATAGCGACACACACACACACACACACACACACACACACAGAAAGAAAGAAAAGAAAAAAGGAGAGCTTTTTACAAGCTTCTAGAAACTGTCAAGCTTTGTTTGTACACATTTTAGGGGCTGGAACAGCCAGAAGGAAAGAAATCCCACACACTGTCAAAGTTACTAGAGTTGCTGGTCCAGTGTTAGGAATAAAGCACTGGCATGCACTGGGTGACGGGCAACACCGGAAAGCAAGGGTCTTTTTTAGCGATGAAACAGACTATTGTATTCAGCACACTTTCTCCACAAAGTCACCCTTGACAGATTTCTATGCGCGGTAGCAGCATTTGTGGATACTAAAGATTGTTTCCTTCCAAGATTCATTCCAGAAATTCATCTGCAGCACATATATGTGCTAGCTGATGTATCTCTTTTTATGAGAGGCATTTTTTATTACTTGTTTTTTCAGCTTTACCATCCTCTTTTATTTATTGTCAACTTTACCATCATTTCAAATAAACAAGCATTAAAAAATGACCAAGAAGATGCTAAAATTAGACAATGCTGAAAACTGGATTGAAATACTTAAAGTCTCAGGAAATCAAAAAAAAAAAAAATGTTCACTGAAAACTGTCCTCCCTTGACACTGATTTGTGCACCAGCATTAGGAGTCACAAATTAAGCATAAGGAAAAAAGGTGCCATAAACTGGACACTTTTGAATGGGAGATACATAAACAACAATACAGTGAAATAGAGCAGAATTTCTTACCTTTGTGATGATTTGCACCAGATGCTAATTTCCCCCACAGTGTTACAACAAATATTATTATTAGCAGTTTTCCTTTTGTTGCTTTCTGTAAGTATCTCTTATTCATCCTGAAAATAAAAATATACAACAATAAGGATTTATTTCTTTAAAGAAACTATTTTTCTCTTAATTTAAAGGGAATTCAGTGCTTTTGAAAAGTAGCTGGTTGACAACCCCTAAACCTTGATTTCTGCTTCGTTCTAAGTGAGGTATGTCACATACAGCATCAGTGTAACCTCTTTCCAGCATCAGTGTAACCTCTTTCCGTGATCTGTCAGGATTGTACTACACTGGTCAGACCTTCAGTATTTAATACCTCCATGTTTCAGGTTTCTACCAAGGTGCAAGCAGTGTTCGTAACAGCAGCAGCCTCCACAGAAATGCAGCAATAGAAAAGCTGTTAAGGAGGAAGAATCCATGCAGGCATGCAGTAGGGTTTGATGGGCAGTGAAGCTCCACTAGTACATCTGGGACCAGCCATGGTCAACATGGTCCTCCCCAGCTCCATGCAGGGAAATTTTTAGCTTTTGGGGACTGCACCTCTTTTTAGATTCTACTCACAAGTCATAAGGACATGACGTATTTGAATAGACCTCCAACACATATACCAACCCATCCACAAGCAAAATCCTGCTAGGGAGATATGAATGGTGTGGAAACATGGCCTCAAACAGGGCAGATTCACCCTGTTCACTCCCTCTCCTGCCTATCCAAAGGGTGGAAGAAAATATTTGATTTACTGCACCAAGGGAAATTGCACACAGCTACTCTCATCTTGCTCAATGATGTTTTCACTATGTCACCAAACCACCATGAAGGCAACACATGGATTATTTCTCAGCAGCCGCCTTCAAAGACAAAATGCCTCTCCACCTGCCAAAAAGACAAGTTCAGGAACACACGCTCCAGTGCTTAAGGTTTACAGTGTTGCAGACAGTGGCAAGAGGGATAATAATGAAACCTGCTCTCACTTCTCATTCTCTACAGAAGAGCCCTAGGGAGCTGGCTAAGAAAAAGTTCTGCAGGATGGTCACGTTTCTGCTGATAGGTCAATAGGATGGTGATGCCTATTCCACATCACTTACACTAAAAAAGCTGCAAACTTGGTCTCCTGAACAAAATTATTGCTATTTTACAATGCCTGAAGCTAGGCTGCCTTCTCCTTCTGAGTAGAAAAAAACTGCATTGCTTCGCTAAAGTTGCACATTTCTCTCTTACTATATCCATAGGAAGCTAGAAAGAATTAAGAAGAGTATCTCTTTTTCTCTTTTCCTCTGCTCATGTACAACCCTAACTTGGGCAACCACAAACTCTGTGAAAGGCAGACTGTGCCATAACGCAGAATTAACCAGTAGTGTGTTCAAAGTCCCAAATCTCTTCATTCCTTCAGAGCAATTCCTTTCCTCTGAGCAAAATTCCTTCTAAGAGGACACACTGGTGAGGCAGCGTCCTCCCCCCCCCGCTCAGGTTTCCAGACTCATAACCAGACCACCTCCCCCAAAACTGTCAATCCCACTTCTCAGGAGATAGCTACGATCTTGTTAAACACTGGTAAGATTCCACAGCGAACTGGCTGTAACTAAACACTATGACTCAAATTAACAACCTGCTGAGGAGTGTACCAAACTCCTTAACATCTGACTTCAGAGCAAACAGTATCCAGTATACTCTGACAGGAGTGTTTCCTGGAGGTTCATATATCACAGCTATCAGGCAAAAATAGAGAGCAGTAAGCAAGTGTTATATGTGGGATCGCGGATATGTCCCTGAAAGTCTGACTGATTAATAATCAGCGCAGAGGTCACAGCGCTCTGTGAACCGTATCAAGTCATGCCTTCTTGCACTATGATTCCAGTTCCTTTAGTGGAAACTGCATATTCATCAACTCCAAGGTTATGAAGTACTCAAAGCTAAAAGGAAATACGTTATTTGTCACTGCAAATAAGAACAAAAAAATTAAATTGAAATGCACGTTCAGCACATGTTGTTTCACAGCCGTCTCTGTGAACAGGAGACGAATTAACTCTTTCACTCCCTGTTTCTTTTAACGCTCCTGTTATGCTGCTGGCGCCAAGTCATTTCCCATTAAAATCAAGTCTTTCTTCCTCAGGTATCCAACTCTACTCAAAACCCAGGGGGACTTGCACCATTAACCAAAGTAGAATCTAATGCAGTTCCTTCCTGTACTCCCTGCTCTTGCCACATTCATTTGCTCTGCCACGAGACTGGCTGCAAACACACAAAAGGAAATGCAAACACATAAGGAAAAACGGTGGCAGCAGGAGCAAAGGGAAAAAGGCAGCGTATTTGCCTGTGAACAACGGCCCCTCTGGGTAGTGGCAGAGCGAGGAGACAGACCTCTGCCCACAGCCCAGTGCACCCAGACAGCGGTAAGCTAGCACTAAATCCAGAAGAGGCTATGCACACAGTAAAGGAAGGGTTTCAACTTCGACACAGCAAATTCAGAATCGTTGCCATTGCCAGGTTTTCCAGTCCTGAAAAAACAATACATGTTTTCTGCACCACAAACCTGTTGCACTATTCTGCATTACTTATTCATTGAATTTACCTTTAGAAGAACATAAATCATAACTTTGTCTTTTAGCTGTCCTCTAATAGGCACAATTGGACTGGCTAACAGAAAAGTCAGTAAAAGCAGCAGTTCTAGATTGGGACTCAGAGGCCATCAGCAAAAGTACAAAAACAATCTCTCAGCAGTTAAACCACTTACAACATGCAGCAGCTGGAACAAGAAGAAAATGGGGGTTGATGGCAAGTTTCAAACTGGTTACGCAGCGTAGCGCTAGACCTGAGGTTGTGCCTATTGGCCGTTCACAACGCTCAGTCCAGGTGCAGACAGGCAGCTGCATGGGCAAAAAGCAGACACGAAGCTCCTCGAGAAAGGGAGAATGCTCCTGGCAGTGCTGGTACACAGGCAGAAGCCACACCGGAGCAATACAGCCATGGGAATAAAAAATGATGGGTTTGTGGTCAAGAGAGACTCAGAGGAGTGGGACAAATCCATCTCAGCAGCAAAGCAGGCAACCAGCTTGATAACAAGTGACCACAAATGCCAACAATCACTGAGGTTTTGAGACATAGCTGAGTGTGTGTGTTACTATCTGGACTTCCACGTGATGATGGTTATTTTCTGTGGATTTCCAAAGCAGCCCAAGATGTAGCACTGAGAAGGCACTGAAACTAAAAAGCATTTGACCTCAGCTTTGAAATATAACTATTAGCCTATTGCAACCCTGATCTATGTCAGGTAAGCAGATCCAGGAAATTCAATTCATTACCAATGCTCCTCTGTGTCGTGCTGTTATTACACTAACGTTAACAGGCTGCGTTAAATAGAACAAATGAGGTCTGAAATGAGGTCTGCTTTTCCTGGAGGTGAGGCAGAGCTGCACAGTCAATCTATGACTATTAACCCGAAAGGTTTTCCCTGGCGAGGCACCTTCCTTTTCTTCAGAACCTTTTGCTCACTGTGACCCTTACAGCCTTCAATAATGCCACATAAGACAGAGGTGATCAAAACTGAGAACAGCTGTGCTAGAGGAAATGTTTATATTCAAAAATCAGTTTTACACCAAAGCAGAAATTTTATGTGTAAAAAATATTCCCCTCATTTTCTATCCCCTAAATATTGGAAATAAACCAAATGAATTCTCAGCATTTTCACTCAAACAGGGAAAGGAGAGACTGCCATGTCTGAGTTCATTTTTCAATGCGCTTCGAGGCGAGGAAAAGGCAAAGTAGCTTCTTTTGTGGTGTCAGGCACACATTCAAAATGAAACAAAAGACATGACACCAGCATAATCCATGCAGGTGGTGGCTGAGTGAGGTGACTGCAGTGCAACCAGCTCTTCACTTCCACCATCATACAACGAATAAATTCATCTGATTCGGTGCTTTTCCTCTAGAACATTCCTTCCTACTAACGTGTGCTCCACGAGCCCATCAGCATTCTCGTGTCACAGGCTACACTGTTTTTGAGAAAAGAGACAAAAATAGCTAAAAAAAAAAAAGCAAGATTTTTTTCTCAGCGTGAAAATGCATCTGACGCTGCAGAGAAGCATCACAGATTGGTGTGTCAGCAGAAACGCTTCTCCGTGGCTCATGGAAAGCAAACTGTGAATATACTAATAGATGTGTGCAAGCTCTCCTCATCGCTGCTTCATCTCCCTCCCTGCCCCCTCCCAACAGCGGCTGTGGCCCAGCTACTCGGCAGTACTAAAACTGGCTTGCGCAGATGTATATTCTCAATACTCATTGCAACGATGCAGTATCCTCTGTCATAGGAGCTTCTGAGTTTCTACCTTCCTCCTTCTGCGCTGCTGTGCTTGAGATCAGCCACCTTCCCAACACTTCAGAAATAGAGGAGAGCCATGTGGGAATTACTTTATATTGTATGGCCACTATTAAATTGCCTTGCTTTCCTATTTTAAGTGACGTGCAACCACATGTAATCTTTACTGTTGAGGAAAAGAAAAGAATGTAAGAAAACAATAGCTTTCATTCTTCCTTTAAGGGCTTAAATACAAATAAAATTCTCATTGGTTTTCTAGGAGTTAAATAGTTATTTTTCTCTGTTTCTTCTTTTCTTTTTTTTTTTTCCAAACATCAGCGTCTGTGAAGCTTTTTAGAATTCATTTGTTCCTGCTTTACATATTTAGAAACTTTCAGTGTCAGAAACACCCATTTGCCTTCTTCAAGCACATATACCCTATGTATGCACATATTCACAGAGAAATATATGCCTATTTCTCTACTGAATCCTTATTAAATGTTTAAGAAACACAAAAATGTCTGATAGGAAATTAGTGCCAAATTCTCTTTCTTTTCTTTTTACAACTGATATTTTATTTTCTACTTCAGAGAAACCCTAAATGAGTAGTAGCAATTGCTTCTGACCCCAAGTGTCTTGTACAGAAATAATGCAGCTATTTAAATTACGTTCTGTGCTGTGTTGAATCTTACATTATGTATTAGCTGTCTTAGTTTCTACATCCCAGGCAATGCAGGTATTTGCAGCTTTATTTAGCCTTTCCTGTGTAAGCTAAT